GGTATCAAATTTTGTTAAGCACAGAACAAGGTTTTATTGGATTAGTAAGAGGAAACCAAACATCCATGTTTTAACTAGGGGGTGAGTCATGGAATTTCCAACCTTGCTTTAGGGATGGGTCAGCCATTATTGTGCCGAAGGGAGGAGGTGGGCCAAGTGTTTTATATCAACCACATTTCCAAATGCTCGCCCCACCCCCCCTCCCCTATACTTTTTGACCAGTCCCTAAATCGTCACATGGAACTTGTGTCGACCCACACAGTCGATTTATTCAAGATCCCGAAAGTAAACCAGAGAGAGAGAGGGAGAGATTTCTATAGCCATGTTTTTCCAAATCCAGTCAGATATATAAATTATACGAGACGCCTCTTACCATGGGAAACAAGTCCTCCAACATAGCTTTTTAAACTATTGATATTTTCAGGAGTTGCTCTTGCTAACCGTTCACCGTAACATAACCTTTTCCCACCAAAGACTCCAGGGGTTGCGACCTTAGTGTTAAAGGATACAATTCCAACCTAAAATTTAAAAAAAGAAAAGAAAAGAAAAAGAAAAACGTTTCGAAGCCAGTTAAAATTTCAAATGAAAATTATTGGGGACGATGCACTGAAATGTTAGCGTGCGTAACAAGCGTTTCCGCGATTGAGGCATTGCGCGAAAGTTGGAGCGAGAGCAAGACGAACTCGCCTGGAAAAGCTTGGCACGTAGGCTCAGTCGAATCGTCGATGGCTATTATATTCTAGTTAATATATATCCTCTCTCATCTGCAAACCATTGATAAGCACGTAGCACTGATGTCTTCTGTTCCTTATTTAGTTGTTATTCACTTACATGATCTTTTGGATTCATGGTTTCTAGCACTGTGTTTGCAGCTTCTTTGGCGATGACAAGTTTCTCTCCAATCATGGATGCACTTGTATCGATCACCAACACCACGTCTTTAGCTTCCGGAGTGGCGGTTTCCACGTAAAACGGTCTGTATCGAGGGTCGTATTTAGAACAATCCTTTTCGTTAAAGTGAACCGGAAAGATAGTCAACATGCCTTCCTCTGAAGCAAAGTACTGCCAAGTGAAGAAAGAATACGTTTCAAAAATAGCTTTCATTTCCAAAAGAACGCTTTCATCTAAGTGAAAAGGGTTGGGTGAAGCAGTACTAGAAATCTGAGCACAAAAATTGTTTACGTCCACTAGAGATCGGAACCTCGTGTTGTATTGAAGTTTAGATTTCTCGGCCTTACAGCATTCCGTGACCGGCTTCGTATTCGCAGCTCGATTGTACGAGTCTTCAACCGCTTTCTTCAGTCGCCTTACCACTGCAAACCTCGTTTTGAGCTTGTCTGCAAGTTTGGCAGCTAGAGATGGAAGAGTATCTTCTCCAGTCATGGTCTGCTTGTGGTACTGGAGTTTCTCCAAATGTATCTAAACGAGAACGAAAATAAAGGCTCTGGCTGAGATTAAGATTTCTTTTGCGTTTTCAGAAAAAAATTATCTTAAAATACCTGCATTTAAATTTTTTCCTTGTCATTATATGAAGCAGTATCCAGTTTTAAATGTCTTATTTTATTTGAAAACTTACTTCCGGGATGTTTTACATGTAACAGCTCTCCTGTTCTAAGACAAATATATTCCAAGTAAAGCAAAGAAAGGAAGTAAAGCGCTCGTTCTCTTCGAACTCCGATTGCTAACTCGGATGCATTACGTAAGACTTCGCAGATGCCAAATTTATTATAGTGTTATTGCCTTTTATCTTCAGATCAAAAAGAAAATATTTTTACCTCTAGTTAGGTTACTCTGTCATGTTTCACGTGGCAAAGGCTTAGGTTAGAGATAAAAAAAAAACATCCTCTTTTATCAAGTCAAAAGACTGTAAAGCTCAGGACTGAGTTGTTCAAAGCTGGGTTACAATAACCCAGGGTTAGTGCGAGATTTAAATTCAGATTTGAAAGCTTAAAAAGCATTTCAGTTTTGATTCTTTTTGTCTACAAGTTGATGATTGAAAACTCTAAATATATCAGAGAAAATTATCCGAGAAAATACTTTTGAACACAAGAAAGAGAAAACCGGGTTAAATTTAACCCCGGGTTAAGCAGTAATAACGTCCTTCGAACAACTGGGCCCAGGTGTTAAGATTACCATGCATATTTAGGCTACGCTAGCTCACATATACCGTATACATTAGATTTTCGTGACGACACGAAATGCTATCCGGTATAGTATAAACGGCATCGAACTGGAACAAGCCGTTCACACACTGAACATCGTGCCGGAGCGGTTAGCCGAGAGGGTTTGGAGAACTAAATCCTACTTCTAAATCCTAGATATTTGTTACCTCCGTCTCGGTGGATTCTAGTCCTCACTCCTACTTATTATGTTCCGCTACGGTCCGCATTACTGTGCTCATTACACAAGAGTTTGTCACAGAACTTATCCAACAAGTGACGCTCCACCTTTGAGATTGGCGGTGCGCAGCTTCGTTCCGCTACAGAAATCGTGCCGAAATCACTGTTCTTATGTGTGAAAAGAAGCCCTATCCAATAACATTTTCGTGCCGGCGCGAAAGCTATCCTGTGTAGTGTGAATATAGCCTTAATTTTCATCTAATTTTGCTTAACTCATTACGCCATCAGCTCTTTGTTTTCTTTGTTACACCTGAGGGAATTTGCTGGTAAGGGGGGACCCTGGACATATTTGGGGCAAAAACATTCAATTCAGTTTTTATCTCCACCCTTGAAAATTTTGATTGTTTTGGGCTACGGCAATACTCGAGACTCTGCACAGCCGCAAAAAGAAATTCCTGACGATTGAGAGACATGGGAACGAATTACTCAGAAATTGATATTCGGACGTTACGGTTTAGAGGGGCGCGGCAGTTCGTGGGGTGTTTTCGGACTATTATGGTCTTGGCGCGGGATTTGTGGCATAATACGTCAGCTCAGTCGCCGTGTTCGCTTTCGTTTTGTTTTGCATATTTTCTTTTCCGATGGCTTATATCCTTACGTGTTCAGATCTGTATTTTTTTTTTTGGAATAACCTTATTTCGGTATATAACTTAATATGCATTTAGGCTTTTGGACCTACCTTCTTTGAAATTAATTATTTTAGTCGCTTTGGAGTAGTCTGTGTGACAAGGTATTCACTGTTCTAAGTTATTCGCTTAAACCCATTCCCCGGCGGGGTTTCGTGCCACGGCATTAGTAGGGGAATACGTTTTCTAACATTTTTTCACCACTTCTAAAGGGTGGTTTTTTTGTGGTTTTTCTTATCTTCGTATCCCAGAACATGTAATAATATTTTGCTAGAAGTGTAACGTCGATGGAAACTTAACTAGGATACATCTGCATCAAATGACTGACTGACGCATCCTGAAACTTTTAGCATTGAATGTCTCGTGTCAGTGGAATTAGAAAAATTAAGTTTTTTAATTCTGCCTGTACATGTCGGTTGTTTCGCTGCATTATCATGACAAGTTCTATATCCTGGCGTAGTTCCTGAGTTTCAAATTATATTCATTGAACTTCACTGGTTATCCGTAACACTTATAAATTTAGCTAACAACAGTATCAGTTACTATTTGTGGGCTCTTTGTGACTGGGATCTCTTCTAAAGGAGTATATAGTGTTCTTTTCTAAGCAAGTACTTAACACATCAGTTTTACCTGCATTTCTTCCACGCCAAGAGCATCTCTGGCAAAACTTTGAAGTTCCATACTTATCAGACTGGGATCCAAAAGACTTGCACATGCTTGAAGAGACGAGAGAACGACGAAATAACAAATTGAAAAAATTATTACAGTATCTTTCACGCGTCTAACGACACTTGCAAATGCAGCCATGCTTGGATAATATTTGTCCTTCTGCTCTTTACGTCAAAATCTGTTTTTATGTCTGGTAGCGACACCAAAAACCTGCTATAAGTTCTGTTATCTGCTTTGTTTTAAGTTGTAAGATTTACTTCCGGGTTCCTTGCCAGCATGTTCTATTAATGTATCATGATCCTCCTGAAAGGGAAATTACCGTAGATAGTTTACAACTAATACCTGGTTCAAGAGTTGATTAAACGCTTACGTAGTTTGAAACTCAAGGGAGAAACCCCCTTCGCGCTAAAGCGCATTTATTTCTAGCAAATCGGCACAAAATTAAGACCTGGCAGATAAATCACTTCCTTCCGCCCCTGCTCCCAGTAATTTTTCGTTTCCTTCCTTCGTAAGCCAACTAAGCTCTGATGGTTTTGCATCGCCGAGTCAATCTGACAAAGAGTTTTGTATCCTACTTCATTAAGCTGACACAGCGAGATATCTTTAACCCACTTACGTCAAACTGACGGCGGAAGAAAAACCACCCCTTGAAAAATTGCATATTTGCCGCCTTTGTTCATTCAGCCATTTGACGTACTTAATGGTTCATAAAACAGTCTTTTTGTTTTGTGCTAAAAATAAGTTCATATCACTAATACATCTTATCACAATTTGAATATTATCATTATTATTGTTATTATTATTACTATAATTATCATTATTATTAGCTTTACTTTTTGCCTTTTTCTGTTTTTCCTTTTTTGGCTGTCTTTTTTTTCTGACTGGATCAGTTGATTAAGCTACTGAATAAGTGAACAGGCAAGTCAGGGCAGGTACTGCGTCAAATATCTGACTAATTGCTCTATGCCTTAGTTTGCATTTTTATTCTGACAAACAAGATTTACCCTGGGGCTATTTTTGACGCAGTGATCAGATAAGTTGTTAGTTTTCACATACCCCCGGGAAAGATACTCGAACCCTTCCAGGGAAACAAAAAAGTTCCAAGTAACCAAAAACTGGTTGTAAGCCCTTTAATCTAGTCTCCGCTTATTTTCCCTCCTAACCGGTTATAGGGAAACCTGTCTCAATATATGTCTTGATCTGTTATGTTCCGGTTCACTGTCACGGGTGTGCTTCCGGCCCAACAAATGTGCAATAAACCGTCCACTAAAAAGCATTCTTCAGCCTCTTCAAGGTTCAACTCAAAATTTTCCATTTATTTCAGCCATACTGTGAGTTGCTTTGCAAAGTTTAAGCTATGTTCACACTATACTGAATAGCTTTTGCACTGCCACGAAAATCACATCAGATTGGACTTCTGTTCACATACAAGAACGGTGATTTTTGTGGAATTTCTGTCACGAAGCGAAGCTGCGCCGCGCCAATCTCGAACTGAGTGGAGCGTCACACATCGAATGGACATTGGATGCCACCCCCCCCCCCCCACCATCCCTCCATAAGGTTTTCATGATTGTTCACACTATATGAAAAAGCTTTTGCACGTCCACAAAAATCAACCCAGGTTGGCCTTTCTTCCACAAAAAAAAACGGGGTTTTTTTGGGAATTTTGTCCCCGAAGGAAAGTGGGCCCCGCCCAACTCCGAATGAGGGGGGGGTTCCCCCCCCAAAGGGAAATTGGGTGCCCCCCCCCCCCCCCCCCACCACCCCTCCATAAGGTTTTCATGAGTTTTTTCCTTGAGGATAAAACATTAGCTCCTGACGTTTTCAGTAGTTGTTCGCTCATCCCTCACGCAGATTTTGAGTCAAGTTTAGTGAATGTCAGTTGCTCTGGTTACGAGATATGACGTCATAAGTAGCAGGTGGTCAAGCAAATGTTGGGTGAAAATACATGTTTTTGGAACTTCTTTCAACAATAAAAGTAAATATTGTGGCTAAAATCATGCAAAGTGTTTATTTATGTGCTGTTTTTCATGTAAAACACAAAGAGTGCAAGAATGAAGCAACATCTAAAATGTTACGTCGAGTTAATAATCTTATTTGTACACCTAATAAATAGAAATCACCCTTGGCTATCGGTGAGGATAAAAGGCGGGATGAGTTTGCGGAATGGCATGTGGCATGGCTTGCGGAATGACATAATTATGCGGAATTTAACATACGCAGATCATTTCCAAAGGAATAAATTAAGCCGAAAAGAGCGCCCTTTTTTGGCGCCAATGCAAATGCAGCCGCTGTTGTAATGTTGCGGGCTTAACATACGATGACAATCAAAACACCACGTAGGCTCATTGTCGACCAGCCTTGTCCGCACAGCCAAAAAGATTCTTCGTCTATTGAAGAAAAGATGTTTTCGAAGGTCACGTTCCCTTCTACTTTAATTAATTTTTTCTGCGAAAGATGTTTGTACGATTAACTTAACAGTTTCTTGTTACCTATATTTGTATTCCAAACCGTGTGAGAAGTGTTTCTTTGTGAGACTGTGGGTTACGTGATCGTGACATAATTGATAATATTCAGAGATGAGTCGAATCTTGTATTTTGTTTCCTCAGTTGCGAGCTTGAGACGTGCGAAACAGAAAAATCGACCAAAATGTTAATTGCGTGGCAAGAGTTGAAAATTCAATTTCTTTCATTTTTGTTCATAGATAGCTTTTAGGTTTATAAGAAACCTAACGTAGATTGTTCCCGCCGAGAGCCTTTTATTCGCGAGAAAAAGTAGACGATCGGTTTTCGATGTCGGAGTCCGTCTCAGACTGCATTAATTTTTAACCTGTAATTCGCTAACATCAACTTTCCTCGCGTTCGCTAACGAAGCTGGATGGAGAAATTTGGACACTTTCCACGAACAGAAAAATTCTTTTCCTTCCACTAAAAGATTTTTTCTGGACAATAGGGATGCTGGTCGTACTAAAATAATTTTAAAAATGAGGGACAAATTTAAGTTCGTTACTCATTTTCGACGGCAATATTTAACATGTGGTATAACTCCAAATTCTCTTCTTGCTATTTAAATCACACATTTAAACATTTATTTAAAACATACCTGGGAATTGGCTTGGGTAAGTGAAGGAAATCTCTGTAAGACACCATCGAAGTTTAGGAATTTTCATGGTAGGCTGGCGTTAATTGTCTGTGTTGTGTAAACACTTCCAATTTCGAAACGCGCATAAATAGATATTTACAGGAGCCCATCAAATGGAGCCTCCATCTCCCATACAAGCCTTTGGAGTCAACCCTTTCCTTTAAATACTTGTAGTCCTTGTGGTTGTTTTGTCCGTCAGCTAGTGTGATGATTCCCTGCTATGTTTTGTAACGCCGGGCTCAGGCATTGTTTTCTCGCAAAAAAGGGATCTACAGATGCGAATTCGAAGGAAGGAATTGAGCCTAAACTTCTACATTAACTGCTGAGAATTGTCCTGTTGGTCAGTCATAATTCTTTTGGCGCAGATACAATCCATTTTGTTTTTCTTGAGATAAGTGGGTCTTTGGACTGGAGCGCTATGTCACAAATTCCTCCGTCAGCAAATTACTTTTGAGTTAGCTTAACGGTCGAGCAACTGTTGTCTTCTGTTCAACTTTTCAAGTGCCAGTTTTATCATAGTTATACAAGTCAGTTGTAAAGGAAGACTGCAATTTCTCAAATTTCGGAACTGAAGCATTCCTCGTTTGTTGCTACTTAGGTCATCGCTTTCGCACGCGGTGCTTAACTGGCGAAACCCACTCCACGGTGATGACAAAAATTAAAA